TTCATCCCTAAGCTGGTCAGAAAGGCTGATCTGATCAAGCAGTATGGAAGATGGGCTGTAGTCACTGGTAAGAGACTGAAATAGTGGTTCTGGTATTTTTTTTTTTAAGGAAGTATATCCTCTGTGAAGAGTTATCTTGTGCCCTTTTCTAGGTTCTAATCCAAACCTCTCCCTTTCCACCTCCTATCACCACCAACATCCATACATGCACAAATCTCTTATTTGTAATTAGACGATTAGAAGCATGTTGAGCCCAAGCTAGTTTACCAGCTGGGGTGTAGATGAGAACCTGGGATTAACTCCAATTCAGATTGGAACTACTCTGACAGTGCAAACTGAATCACTCATATACTGATAGTCCCTCTGTGCGTTTTCATAATCCCTTCAAAGGATGCACAAATGTTACTACAGTTGACTGTGAGAGAGTCCTAAAACAATTGAGTCCAAAGACCCAGGGATAGATCCAGGGGGAGTGTAGAGGGTACAGTTGCACCCCCTTGAGCTGTTGTGCATGTACAGTGAGATGAGCTCACTATCTTATCAGTGTGGCTTCTTGTCAGAACCACTGCTTTGGCACAGCTCTGGGACCCCACAGGTAAATGTCACTACCACTGGCCCTCCCCACCCTCCCTTTTTTCCCCAGCCACTGAATTTTGGGGTGGGAAAGAGGATGGCCCTAGCTGAACAGAACACCAGAATGTTTCTTCCTGCTACATGTTATTCCCTATATATGCTTTGGTGATGTGTAGTATATTTTTGTTAAGCTCTTTTTTTTTTTCAGTTGGGTGCTTCAGAAGGGGATGCTGTTGCTAAAATGACAGAGTTGACAGTTAAGCTTCCAAGCAATGTTTGCCATCTCCTCTAAACAAGGATCCAGGTTCAGCTCCTTTTAAAATATTCCTTAGGGAATGCAAAAAGGAAGGTAGTAGGATTTCCATCAGCAGTGGCACTCACCCTAAAACTTCCAGTGTGCAGTTTCACTGACTTTTCTACATTCTTACAATCTTTTCCTGTAAGACTTTTTTTCCTGGACCTTTCCTCCTTACTTGGTTATTCTGATGTTTTGTTTGTCAAGCCAGGCTTTGGAGCTAGTGAACATCCTGGAACATCTCCTGGAGTCTAGTGGAAAGTGGCTGTTGAAGAGGCAGAATAGCAGGCAGAGATGTCCCCTAGTACCAGATTCTCACTCTGCATATAAAGGATTTAATTTAATGTAATGCTCATATTTGGCCCTTAGTGAAATTCTGCATCTTGTTTTCCACCTGAGTTGTCTCAAGGCTGCTGTATCCCTACTTTACATCTTATTCTATTTTGTTATAGTTATGCTTACTATTTAGAATTTGTGGTTTTAACTAGCTATTAAATAGTAACACACTGCTGTGGCTTTTTTAAATGAGAGCAGTCACTTGTCCAACGGCACATCACTTAAAGAATGATAAATTTTTTGCTCCTTATCTTTACAAGAAAGTGGAAACAACTATGTCACCATATTATTGCTATATTTTCTTACTACTATCTTATCTTCTGTTGCAGGGGCTACAGCTGGAATTGGAAAAGCCTATGCTGAGCAACTGGCAAACCACGGTGTGAATGTTATCTTAATCAGCCGGAACAAAGAGAAGCTTCAGGCAGTAGCTAAGGACATAGCTGAAACCTATAAAGTGAAAACTGATTTTATAGTAGCTGACTTCAGCAAAGGTCGTGAGATTTACTCGGCCATTAAGGAAGATCTGAGAGACAAGGAAATTGGGATCTTGGTAAATAATGTAGGAGTGTGTTACAACTATCCAGACTATTTTATCAGAGTGTCTGAGGATAAACTGTGGGAAATGATCAATATAAATATTGGTGCTGTTAACATGATGACGCACATGGTTCTGCCAGGGATGGTAGAGAGGAAGAAAGGTGCTATTGTAAATATTTCCTCTGCATCCTGCTGCCAACCCGTTCCACAGTTAACAGCATATGCAGCCTCCAAGGTATGACGGTATAATGTTTTGTTGTGACTTTTTTAAAAGATCCATGTTTATTAAAGATAATTATACTTGAGAGTTTCCCCCATAAATCACCCTATATTAATCCAGCTATTTTTTGGATTAAATACAGGATATTGTTAAAGTGTGGGTGTTTTTTTAGGAGTTTCTTATTTATCAGGGCCAGATTGAAACCAAGGTATGTATGTGTAGGTACTGTGATGATATCTTGCTGCACTAGTAGTTCCAGAGGCAATCTTCAGGGCACCCTTTGAGACAGTGAATACTGGGTTAATGTTTCTCTGCCATTTAAACTCTGCAGTATGCACAGGTAGACAGAGAGGGGTCGGAAGCTGTTATTTATTTATCTTGCAGTGGTGTAGTGGGAGCTCCTCTATTTACGTATGAGAGTACCACTGAGAGGCTGTGCCAGATGTCTCTGCAGTGACAGGTATTGCAATGGTGCTAATCCAGGGAGCACAAGGACTGTAGTTGTGATGGCTGCTTGTACAGAGCACAAAGCAGGAGGGAAGGTTCCATATATCCTTCTTTTTCCCTCTTCTCTAAGAGCTCAAAGTTCTGTATCTTACTGTGTTCCCTCAGGTGCTCCAGTGGTCACATACAGTGCTAAATGCCACACACTTTGGTGGCAGGATTTTTTGTTTTTTTTTAAAGATTTCTCAGTAATTTGCTATGAATACCAGGAAGCCTTTAACAATATAGTATCACTGCTTCTCACCATTTCTTTTCTGCTGAATTCATCCTAATTGAATACCTGTTTCAGAATTACAGAGTCCCCTGTTGTGCCCCACCGCTGAATTTAGAGATAAGTGTACCTGAATCTAACCTACCTAGATCTAGAATTTCCTGCACTGTAAGTTTTAGAAGTGACTAAAGCTTATGGTGATGGTAGTAGGGCTGGTATTGGTGACTTCCTGTCCTATCTATGAAATCCTGTGAAGGACCATGATTACTGGCCCCAGCACTGCAAACATGCACTTGATTAAATCTGGTGATATGAATAATCCCACACACTTTTAGCTACTGATACGCAGAAGTATTTTCATGTCTTCCCACCACTCTCTAGAGATGAGACAGGAGAAGAATTTCAATAGCTGAGTGATGCTGATTGTGTGGTCACACTTTGGGACTCTGGGATCATGTTGTTTGGCTGCTTTATAACTTGTATGAACACCAGTAAAATTCCTAGCACTAACTGGTCACATACTGTGGTGGACCTTCAGCATTGCACTAGTGTTATTGGTATGACTGGGCCAAACACATTTTTGTGCTGTGCCTGTTCACGAAGTCTATTGGCTTCATGCTATTCAAGATTAATTTCATAGGGAGAAATAAAATGAGCGGTGGGAAGTGTTTTCGCAGATGCTCACAATTTTGGCCCTAATCCTTCCAATATTTATGTGCTTAACTTTTATGCCTATGTGGAGTTCTGCTAGCTTCAGTGGAACCAGCTGATTTTCTAGGGAAAGTTATGAAACTGCCCAAACCTTGTCATGTGCTCAAAGTAAACAAAATGGGGATCTGAGTCGAGAATGTTTCAAATGCAGTAAATGTCATGATGTTTGTAACAATAGCAGATTTTTAAAAAGATGTAGCCAGAAATTAGTTTGGTTTTTCAAATGATAACAGATTTTTGTTAAATTCTCTTCCAAGTTGCTGAAAAATGCTCTACGTTTGTCAGCAAATGAATTCTGAAAAGTAGAAATCTTGAATCATGCTAAACAAGTATTTTATTCTAATACTAATATCAAAATAATGGTTTTATTTATTTATCTCTCTTTATTAAAAGGTTACAAAAATTTAAGTTTCCAAGAGAGATTTTTAGTAATGTTTTACACCAAGATTTTGTTGCCTTCCTACTACAAAATAAAGGAACTCTAATTCTCTGCTTTCATCTTATTAGGCCTACGTGGACTATTTCAGCAGAGCTCTATATTATGAATATGCTCCGAAAGGAATCTTTGTTCAGAGTTTAATTCCAATGGTCACCTCCACAAACATGACACAGTTCAGTCGGTTGCTGTCCAGTAAGAGTTTTATAATACCTACTGCTGAAGTATATGCACGTCATGCCATTTCCACTCTTGGGATATCCAGAAGAACAACAGGATACTGGGGTCACTTTGTTCAGGTAATTAAATGAATCCAACTTTCATTAGTAAACCTCATTAAATTTTTCCCTTAGCAGAGTTAATCTTGTAACTTCGATTTGTTTGTTGTTATGACAATTAAAGCTACACAAAGTATAGTACCATATTTTCTTGCATACATACACATCTTCCCCCTAAAATCAACCGTCCCGAAGTGGGGCATGTGTATTAAGCAAGGAAGCTGATTTTTCTGCCTGGGGTTGGAAGCACCGTGGTTTGATTCCTGCTCCACATTGCAGCATCAGTGGTATTGATTTCAGACAACTGAGAAAGTCAGTTGACTTAATGGTTCATTGTTCTTCACTCTACAGGAGTTAAGTCTCTCCTTTTTAGTGGTCTTGATGTTCCACTAATCAAGCTAACCTTTTGCAGGGCAATTTGCTATCTGCTAGCTGTTCTTAGTCTCTCTCTTTCACAGACTCTTTAGGTCTTTTCATAATCATGGATCTACCTGTGGTGACCAGTCTTCAGCAGCAGCTTAGGGATTCATCTTTCCTTACGCAGAAAAGGGAGGATGACTCAGCTAAAGCTTAGGCTGTGTCCCTCCTGCAGCCATAACTCTGGGCCTTTTTCCCCATCAAAAGCAAGACGTGTATTATATTTGGCAGTGTGCTGTATGTGATAAAATACAATATTTTGAAAAGTTAAGGCACAAATAAATTGGCATAATCTGGAGGCTGTGAGATACAATTCTTGACCAACTCTGTTTAGTTAAGTTGTGATGGGATGTAATTGACTTTAAAAATAGAAAATAATATATTAATTCTAAATATAGGGACCAAAGTTAAAATACAATCTTGTATTAAAAAACACAAATAATATTTTTCAGCTCACTGAACTTAGATATAAGTTTACTTTCTGATTCTGGTACTCAGTTGAAACAAAAACTTTTCATAGAATCTTTCCTAAAATATGGTGGGGGTTTTTAAAGTCTACTTTTTAAACTGAAATGCCATAAACTGTTCACTTGTTGGTATTATTGTGTTTTTGGTTGCACAATTCGTGCCCAAAAACCTCCTGTGAAAGGTTTGATGTATCCACTGATGATGCTCCAATGGTTAATTTCCTAGCATTTTAAAAATAGGAAGGAAGGAGGACATAAGGTGGGGATTAGTCCAAAGTGGAAAACTTGCAAAGAAAGATTATGTAAAAGTTAGCATGGTGTTTCCTGTTTTCTTCTTTCAGTTGCCATTTCAAGTTCAAAGAAAATTTGTAGTGCCTGATCTGCCAGCATAATTGTAAGGGCTTTGTATCTTAATTTTCTCATACTCTAAGGGGAAATGGTAACTGCTGTTCAGACTAGGAGTCCTTTTTTTTTTTTATACTTTAGTAGTAATTTTAGAAGCTACTTGTTCACTTCAAAGGAGTAAATTGCATTTATAACTTCTCTCTTCCTTTCCCCTCTGTCCCCTTCTTCTTTTTAGGGCTGCTTACTGAGCTTACCAGAGTGGTTGTATGCCTGGCTTTCCAACAATATAAGCTGGTTTCTACGTCAGGATGCCTTATCCCACCGACTGGATTAAAAATCTCATCTGTAAATAGCCAGTGTGCTAACCTACTGCAGTAATCTTGGAAGAACACTTAAAAATGTGACTAGCATGTATTCATCATTTCTAAATGAGTATGCATATCCTAGACAGCAGAGAAACCTGGATCTTGGTGATGTCCCTGTACTGCTTGACCCATGTAAAAATATTTTTATTTGAAAAGTGAAGGGTTAGTGTAACCCACAGATGAGCTATGGACTATTTACCATGGTCTCAGAGACTGCTAGTAGTTTGTGAACTGCAGTTGGGGAAACTCTGGTGCAGGATAGGGTAAGAGCTGTGTTTCATGGTGGTGATATTGAGAGGATGCACAATTTGAAAGATAGCAAAAATTATGTATAACTCCATATTCTTAATAGATTTCTTTTAAATAAAGAATATGCATATGGAGCTACCACTTCTTATAAATTTACATAGAATTAAATACCGAAACAATAAGTAAATTTGAATATTATAGTTGTATTAATTTTTACCATGTAGATGCAGCATCAAATAAAAGATTCTTTAATAAGCCAAGTTGGACTATGTTAAACAAGGAATTATGGGTAAGAGGGGAAATGAGGTTTATAATGGATCAAGGTTTCCTGTCTGGAGACAGAATGTGGCTTTGATTGGATTTGGTTATTTCAAGTGACTGTTGTCCTCCAAATAAATAATTGCATTGTATTGGGAGAGCTGTGCGAAGAATTTCTCCACGTCTTTCATGTGGTAATATTCTGCATGCACTATTCTAATCTAAGTCTGCACAAGCACAAAAATAGGTCCCATCTTTACAAATTAAAAGGTACAATTGTCTACAGTGTAGCTTCATAAAGTTTAAAGGCGCAAGATAAATATGGAACACATAACTATGTACATTTGTCTTAGTTTTCAGAGCTTACAGTATGCTTAACTTTTTAAGACAAGAGTTGGCAACCAACAGCCTGTGGGCTAGATATGGCCTTTGGACCTGGCCTGTAGAGCTGTGTCTTCAGCAGCATTTGGCAGCGGGGAGTTCTCCCTATGGTTTGCCACAGTCAAGTGTCTGAGCTTTCAATGGAGAGGGAGATCTGCTCATGCAGTGCTATTGTCAGGCAGCAAAGGCTCAGGTGAAGGGGAGCTTTTGCCATGGTCTTGCTATGGGGTGGGGGTAAGGAGGGGACGGAGCAGAGGTGGCTGCTGACTCTTAATGCCTCTGTGCCTCCAACCTGAGGTGCTTCATTCCAGCCCTTGTGCTGGAAAATGTTGCTGATACCCATTTTAAAACATAGCTGTAGTCTAATAAGTCCTTTTTCAGATATGTGGGGAGCTGGAGGAAAAGCAAGGGCAACATTGGACCCCTGCTGAACCAGATGGGACAACTGATGCCTGCAATGCGATGAACATGAGCCTGCAATGTGATGCTGCGGCTAGTAAAGCGACCAAAATGCTGGCTTGCATCCATAGATGCTTCTCAAGCAAATCCTGGGATGTCATTCTCGCCTTGTACTCGGCCTTGGTGAGGCTGCAGCTGGAGTACTGCGTCCAGTTTTGGGCTCCACAATTCAAAAAGGATTTGGAGAAGCTTGAGAGAGTCCAGAGAAGAGTCACGCACATGATCAGAGTTCAGGAAAACAGACCTTACGATGACAGGCTGAGAGCCATGGGGCTCTTTAGCCTGGAAAAGCGCAGGCTCAGGGGTGATCTGATGGCCACCCAGAAGTTTATCAGGGGTGACCACCAGTACCTGGGGGAACATTTGTTCACCAGAGCGCCCTAAGGGATGGCGAGGTTGAACAGTTATAAACTACTGCTAGACCGTTTCGGGCTGGACATAAGGAAGTATTTCTTTGCTGTCCAGGCTCCCAAGGTCTGGAATAGCCTGCAATCAGAGGTGGTTCAAGCACCTATGTCGAACGTCTTCAAGAGTAAATTGGATGCTTATCTTTTTGGGATCCTATGACCCCAGCTGACTTCCTGTCCTTTGGGCGGGGGCTGCACTTGATCTTCCGAGCTCCCTTCCAGCCCTAATGTCTATGAAATCTATGAAGAAAAAAAAAGACTAAAAATATTAGGGTTTTCTGTCAGCGATATTTTTTTTTTTTTTAAATCAAATGTGTTCAGTTTGCACAAAAATGCTCTCTGTGTAACTGCCAGAAGTTCATCGTTACCTCAAAGCTGAAAGTTGAGCTGTCTTGCTAGTTGAAACCGGAATTACCTAATTCTTTGACATGTTAGCCAGAATAGAGTCCAACTTGTTCTCTGGCATGTCCTGGCTCTGCAGATCTGACAAATTTATTTCTCTATGCTATGACATGGTGGCCACATTGCAAAAAGTGCCAAGTTATATTAGTTACTAAATCTAGGGCTGTGCAAAATTTTGCCGGCTGTTTTATCTCAACGCTGTTTCAACTCATTTTGAGCTCGAAACAGTGAAATCGAAATAAAACAAAGTGCTTCAAAACAGCCTCAAAACAAAACAAGGGCATTCAAAACATTACTTTCTGTTTCCTTGCAGGCAAGGGCCGGGGGGTGAGGGGAAGGGGGAAGGACTGCTCTGGTATTGACTGTGTAGCTGGCCAGTGACTCTAATCCTTCCCTGACATCCCTTCCAATCCCGGTGCACTGTGGGACGGGTGGAAAACACACAGTCATACATGTCACGAGTTTTGCTTGTCAGCAGCCTGAGGTGCAGTTTCCCAGAAACCCCTGCACCTATCTCCTTGAAACTGGGCAGGCTTCATGGTGTCACAGGGGCTACTATCCCTGCATGTTTCATTCCAATTGGGCAAGAAATGACAAAGTTATAGGCAGTATTGTGCTTTCCCATTATAGCCTATGGGCGAAATGGGGAAACAGTTTCAATGGAACGGAACTCGAAACGACACACTGTTCTGTTGAAATGGAAGTTGAAACGAAACGGTGCTGTTTCACACAGCCCTAACTAAAGCTGCTATTGTTAGCTGAAGTCCCATTCCAAATCTGTGAGAACTACACTCATGCCTCATGGATGAATATTATGTACAGGTTTTCCTCGCTTTATGCGGGTTCTGTATGTGCAAATTTGCTTTTATGCAATGACCCTTTTTATACTAAAAATTCATTAAATGTGAGGTAAATTCACTCTTATGCAATTGGTGTGGTGGTAGCCTGCATTTGCTTTGTGCAGTGCATTGTGGGAGTGACCTGCACCAAACTAGAGGCTTCTGGGTGGATGTGTGCTCCTTGCTTGTTCTCTGTGACATTTCTGTAGTTGCCATCCCTATTATGATAGTGCCCTGTGCTTGTGTGTACTGTCTGCTGTTGGTGAGTACCAAAATTGTCTTGTAAAAGTGGTAGAAATGGGTCTGGGGGTCAGTACAGTTGAGGTCTTGGAACATATCTCTATTTGTTACATTGTAAAGTGGGTTCCCTTTATGCGAATTTGAGTTATGCGCCATTTTTCCAGGAACACATGTACAGCATAAAGTGAGGGAAACCTGTATGTGGCTCATGCATAAACAGAAGACTGGTTAAAGAGGTGTTCTTTGTAGCCTTAGGGACCTGCATGCAGCTGGATGCAGCCAGGCCATCCACTATTGAGACAGATTTGTATTAATCTTTCTAATGAAAAAATGAATGTAATGTGAAGCTCTTATCCAGGCTGAAAAAGCAGGTTCTCTGGCTGTAGGTAGATCTCTCATTTAGGGATGTCCAGATACTGCTGGCTTTTTCAACCTGGATCAAAATGAGAGGGATGCAGTGCTTCCAAGCTGCGCCAGTGGGAGTTAAGCGGAGGGGCAGGGCCCTGGAATGGAGGCCGCGTCCTACGGGGCCGTCCCGCAGAAAAAGCATTGGCTGGCTTCATAGATGCTTGAAGCAGCACACCGGACGTGCAGGGGGCGGGAGCCAAAGGCTTTCCCTTGGGACAAATGCAACATCTGGTCGCAGCCGGGGCCTGGCTTTGAAAGTGAGAGAATATTTATTCAAAGTAATGGATTAACTAGCACGGTAGGATCCCCACTCCTTGGAAGAATTAACGCTGTACTAGACCAAAGAGACGCGCGCTACGAGCCGCAGCCGCCCCCCCGACCGAGTCCGCTGCCGGACCGCTGGGCGCCTCCGCACGGAGCAGCGCGACCCTGCGGGCGATGACAATCGCTGTAACCTGCCCCGGACAGAGCAGCTTGCACACGTGTGCACGCACAAGCGCCTGAAGCTCCGCGCTGGCGGAAACCTGCCCTTCGAGCCTGAGGCGAGACCTAGCGCCGCGGCCCCGCGAACCCTGCCAAGCTGCGGCATCTCCCACTGTCATAGCGGGGCTCGACCGCCCTCTCTCCCCATTGGCCAGCCGGCGCGCCGAAATCTCGCGAGACTTGTGGGAGGCACGACTCAACCCCTTAACCCTCCCCGGGCTGCGCATGCGCCAACGCGCTTTCTTCTCACAATTGAGGTTCGCAGGGCGGGCGTCGATACGTGTTCTCGCGAGACAACGGGGTAAACACTGCACAAAATGGCGGCGGGCGGCCCTGCGAGCCCAGCGGCAGTACGGTTAGTGCTGGGAGGCGACGCGGGGGGGGATGCAGGGCGGGGAGGGGCGCAGGGCCTGGTCAGGGGCT